AAAATTTGGCGAAATTTGCTGCCGAATTAAGCGTACAAATCCGATATACAGTACTTACAACTCTTCAACTAATTTATTGCCTGTGAAGAATCACCGAACCTAGCAAATATAAAAAAAAACAATTGAAGCAACTAAATATAACTTTATAAAGCTGATAACTAAATATTACAGAAATTACTTTTCAGAAACTTCACGAATTAAAGAATCCAATTCCAAGTCATTCATTTCTTCAACTTTCTTTCCTGATTTAGTCTTTTTATCTGAATCTTTAGAAATATTTTTTGTGGAATTATTTTTTTGCTTTTTCTTTTTCTTTTTTTTTGACAAAGATGAATCTTTTGGAGTTGGCTAAATAATTCAATGATTCTATTAATGATTCTATTAACACACAAAGTATAATTGGTATTGCTAAAGATCATATAGCACAAACCTTTTCACTTATATTTTCATTTTCAGAATTTTGATCAACATTTTCAGTCTCTTCATTTTCTTCATTTAACTGAATCGATGTAATTTTTAATAAGATAGTTGATCAAATCAAATGACAATATATAAAAACAGAAAATTTTTAACGTACTAAATCAAATAAATTCTTTTTCGGATGTTCATGATCAGAATCATTGATAATTTCTTCCGAATCATCGTTTACATGCTTTAAAGAAAGTGAATCTTCTTTATTTGCAGCTCGTTTAAAAGCACGACTTGACATTTTTTTTTCGGGAATATAAATCTATTTTATTGAGCAAGTATCTAAAGATTGAAATTTTACAAAGCACTTGTAAAACTTTATGTTTGTTTTACAAATAATAGTTTTATTCCGTTTGTTATTACGTGAAAAATCCACAATAAAAGAAAGAAGATAAACTTTTAAAAATTGAGTTGTCCATAACGGCGAAAATTAAGTCGTTACACTAGTAATCAAATCACATGAAAGTTTTGATAATCCTAGCCAAATGTAGTTACGTAACACAGTTATATTTATATCCTCTTGATAGTTGCAACCAGGGCTTAAACGACTATATTGAAATGCCGGACATTCAAGAATGTCATCCTTGATCTATAGTAGATCGGAAATTAATTAGCTGGTATAGTAAACAATAAGATGTGCAATATACTAATGTCAACGAATCAAAAACAACACTTTAAACAATAGCAATGGCGCAGTAAATGTCCGGCAAATTAATATAGTCGTTTAAGCCCTGCATTAGACCTAAAGGTTTACAAATTAGCGTGGACACCAAGTATAAATAAATTTTTTTAATGTTACATGCAATTAGGTCTACGATAAATATGTAAATACCGGGTCCATTCTAGGAATGTCTTTTCTAGCTTCATATTGATAGCAATCACTGACATAAATATAAATCATTCTAGTG